TTTGCTGCAATATAGAAAGTACACTTACACGGAAAATATTCAAGTAGAGCAAAAATTCCACGCAGGTCAGTCGAGAAAACGCGTCAAACGCAGTGATCGAAATATTTACCTGAATACTGCTATCGTTACAGGGATGTGCACATGTCGAAAGAATTATCCTATTTTACTTTTATTGAAAAATGCATCTCAGAAATCATGTAATCCATTGCTAACTCAACAGTAAAAAACTGCTTGGACACACGTGGTCCATGCCGATCATTTTATTTGGTCAGGGAAAATATCAAAGGTTGAAATCGCCGTGGGGTTGACTAAAGAAAATGCAAATAATTTTTTTTCAAGAATAAACATTATTCTTGTCTGTAAATGGTGTAAATAAAATTTTTGAAACATGGTTTAACTTCATCAAATTTATAATAAAGCATGCATTAATTTGAATCATTCACCTTTTGGAGATATGAAGATATTTTCCTGTAAAAGGGGAGGGGGGGGGCTAATAAAACATGCATAACACTCTCATAAAAATATTTAAAGAAAAACGTCTGAAACAGATCGGATTTCTTTATGATAAAATATAATTAAAAAAATACTGTGTATTGTCTTTATTAGACCTAATATATATTTATTTGATTTAAAGTTATTTATAATTTTATGCACAATGAAAGAAAAAGTTAGCAAATTCATATACCCCACGCTCCCACAAAAGTTTGACGAAATTGTATGCACCGGTTTATGAGGAATTGTGCTGACAAACTGCTCATCTTTATATTAAAGATATGGCCAAAATCAAAATGTAAAAGTGCGGAAATTCCCGAAAAAGTAATGATTTCGGAATTTCCTGGTGATGTACAAATACAGACACATTGACTCCTATGAATATCAGCATTGTTCAACAAAACTCTGTGCATTAGTTTGTAAGAAGTTGCGCTGACCAAAAAAAGGGCTGACTGATGGGTTCGAAACATTATACCTCACGCAACTTGTTGCGAAGGGTATAATAAATGAGTTTGATTCTGTGTACAATGATAATGAAAAAAGAAATTTAATGTGAATTGAATTTCTAGACATAAATAATAAATGATTACTAGAAAAAGCAGAGAAAAAGAGAGCCCCCCCCCCCCCGCCCCCGTGAGAATTCCACATTCTACCTACAATTAGCCTTTTGAAAATTCTCTTGTTAAAAACTCTCTTGTTTGTTGTACAGATTCAGCATTTAGCCATATAAGTGTCGAAACCGGGGGGGGGGGGGTAATTTTTTTTTTCAAATATATACTTTGTATAGACATTGAGTATTGCTGCGTAGGTTCCCCCCCTCGCTTTTCACACAAGTCGCAGTATAAAATAAAAAAAGAGGAAAGTGTTGGTGTTTGGAGAAAAAAGTTGTTACTGAATTCAATCCCCCTTTCCCCCACACGAAATAGGATATTTGTGTTTAGGAAAAGGACATTTCCTCCTTTTTTAAGCTTGTCAGATTTTTTTGAATGTTTGAAAAAAAATTCTTTGCACTTAGCCCCCCCCCTTTCAATTTGCTTCCGACGCCAATGCGTTTGAGAGGGTATTTGAGAAAGTTCCCGATGTACAATTCCTGTGATGTATATTTCACGTTTATTATATCTCCCGCTTAAAAAGTGTGAGGGTATATAGTAATACATGTACGTAGTTATGTCCGTCCGTAGGTCTGCTACGCTTTGGGGTACCCATCTCCTATCCGCAAATCCTCTTATACTACTTTGTGAAATTAAATAAAACTTTCACAGAATCTTTGACGTGTATTACTTATTACCATTGTGCACCTCCTATTTTACTTTTTGATCCGAAACGTATTTTGGGTTTTACTACAACAGCAAAATATGGACTTTGCCATTATAACCATATGGGCGGCGGAGGTATCATTTAGTGCGCTCATTGCTCACAATACATCTAGTTTCTCTTTCAATTTTGCCGTTCGGATTAACTTCTCGTCCAAATTAAAATTATTTTTCAATTTATGAAGTTTCGACATCCCGCCTGAAAAAAAACCCTTGATCTGTCCTAAGGCTTAATAAATGGACAGCACAAAGTGCGTTGGATCTTATGGCTATTATTGATCTAAGAGCTCTAGATGGTTACAATGAGAGAGAGAGAGGGAGAGGGAGAAAAAGAGAGTTAGTTCAATATACAATTAATTAGTAAATAAAAATTATCTGTATTCAACCAATGTCAAAACTCCCTACCTTAGCTTTTAGAACTATCTCCCAGATACTCCTACAGAAATTATTTCTAAGCATAAAAAAGTAGCTATACTATCAGGCAGGGATACTGAAATCTCGAAAGCCTCTCGAAAACACTATAATTATAAGACATTTACACATACCTCAAATGCACATACATTGTGGTTGGAGTGACACATTTATAATAAATTTTCAAAATAAAATTCAGAAGAGATGTCCGTCTTCCAAGAATATTTAGATAACGGTCTGTCAATTATTTTTGCACCCCCCCCCCCCGCCTAAAAAAATAATATGCCTAAATGTCAATCTGAACAAGGGATGGCATTTCTTGGTGTGTTTGTGTGTTAAAGAACGTATAGATCTATGTACACATAAAAAAAATTATTCTGGTTAATTGCTTTTAAGATCTGAAGTAAATAATTGCCGTACATCAAATTACTTGGTTTAGATTAGATATTAGTACTACAATTATCAGTTATAATTGAGAAATGAATTTTGCGACGCAAACCAACTGCAGACTTTATACATGACTTTGTATATAATGGATATTAGAGCTACACGTAGATAGACAATTCACAATTATAGCTTATGAACAGCAGTTATACCCCCCCCCCTTCAGCCGCGCAATGACCAAATAACTTCTCTTTCCACTTGTGATATTTTCCCTGACCAAAATCTGATTAGCACGGACTAGGTGTATCGACGTGCTTGTCTGTACAAAGTAATGACAGTGTGTTTACTATTGAGATTTTACGGAGTTTATTTCTTTTTTGTGATGCATATTTCAATAAATGGAATTCAGGGTGTATTTCACTTGACTTGTGCACATCTTCGAACCGATGCAGTAACCTTATTACCAGGTATGGGTACGTTTACAGCGTTCGAGGCGTTTTCTCGATATGCACCAATTGCATAGGGTCTGCAAATCAAAGACGTTGGTTGTTTTGCGCCATTCAAATGATAATAATTTCAAAATATGTTGCAGATTTTACTGCTTTTTATTTCAAGTTTATTCTGCATAAATTGGCGCACTGTAAAAATACGTACTCGTGCATCTAAATTTCTCACCAAACTTGTATTTTTTTTTCTTTTGATTCAAATCAATAATTATTCAGAAATATGCATAATGATTATTATTTTGTTTATTGTGGTTTTGAAATGTCTTGATTTCCTTATGTGTTCTCATATGCTTTACCATCGGAGATGTGCACAAGTCGATACCCAAACCAAAAAAAATCAATGAACTGTAACGAGAGCATTGGGGTATACATCGTTACAATGAGACAAGGTATCTAAGAGAAATATGGCGGAATACAGCTATGAGACAAGTCGTACATAGATGAAAATGTTGCGTTTTTAAGAATTCATGTCAGCTTTAACATAGTATTATAAATTATCCATGTTTTTAAAAAGTCAATTATAACAAAACAAGCATCAGTAGCATACATCTATATGGATTCAATTCAAAATAAGACATTTTTTTTCCTTTCTAAAAAATTGGCATATGATTTATACAGCCATAATTTAGAAACTTGAATTACAAATGCATTCAAAAGAAAGCTGAAAATATGTTTAATTTAATTTAATCAACATTTTATAATGTAAAGTAAGATTACATAATTGGCTTGGACATCAGGCATGGCCTATATAAGTTCTCTCCAAAATATGTTGTTGAAATAGAAATTTTATCCCTTCAGTGTTCATAAGTGACTATACAAATGTGTCTCGAGCTACATTCTTTACACAGTATTTTTTGACTCAAATCATGACTTGGAAATGAGTGTGTTTGTATGTATGATGTATGATATTGTAGCCCAATCTGATATTTTTATCTGACATTTTCTAGAGAAGACGTCTTCCAAACAAAATCAGAAAGGGCTACATTATTGTAGCTATGTTTGTTTGTTTTGATAAAGACAGTGATTTGATAAATCTTCAGGTTTATTGTGGCACTAAGTGTACTGAACGATCGTATTCAGATTACCATGATGTTTTTTGGTGTATACATAAACCCAAAAACTTATCAAATAATCATTTTTTTTTCTTTTATCAACAAAAGAGTTAATTTATTTGACAAAAAATTTCCCTGAAGTCGGATAATGTGTTTTGTCCTGGTGGTGAGGTAATGTGCTATCCTCGAAGTACTTGCTGTATGCTGATCACTGGTCAGTATGGATGCTGTCCCTTTCCACAGGTTAGACTGTAGAAATTTAAAGTGTATAATGAATAGGTACAAAAAGGAATTAATATTGCACATTCGTTCAAATACCGATTATGCAAATTTGTTTAATTAAGTGGATATCGACACAGTTTCAACTGAAAACTTTCAAATTTATTTCTCCTTTTTTTGTGTTTGCAATACGTTATTTTGATTTTTTTAAAAATATTATCAAAGAATTACGTTTGGATCTAAAGGTTCAAGAGAGATTAAAAGCTCCAAACCTTCATCTAAACAAGACCATTTTTAATGTATGTAGCTCTCCAACGGACAGTGGTGACTTCTCCACATGAGTGCAAATAATCCTCCAGAAGGGTATTAAACAACATACAATAAATCAAAATACCTGATGAAATATGAAGATTTGAGATAAAAATTCTCGTCTATCAAATGCTGTTTATCATTTTTTTTTTCAGGCTGTGTGCTGAAGTGATGGTAGACACTGCTGCCCTTATGGCTTTGTATGCTACCCTTGGGGATGTAGTAGAGGAGGGTCCAGTCAAGTCTCGGAATTGGTAAAGAAAGTACCTGCTCTGTTGATATCACCAAATGTGGTTTGTCCTGGTGGTCAAGCCATGTGCCCATCTGGGGAGACTTGCTGTAAACAGTCCAGTGGTCAGTATGGATGCTGCCCTCTACCAAAGGTTGGTGTATAGGAAGTTGAACTATATAATTAACAAAGATAATTTATATTTCCGCTCATCCCAATATTAACTAAGCAATTTTTATTGCACATCCCATGACTGACTATACCATTCTTATTGCACATCCCAATACTGACTATACTATTTTTATTGCACATCCCAATACTGATTGATTGTGCGTATTTGCTTAATTAAATTATGTTTGAGATTTAAAATTACAGTATAACACTGTTCTTTTTCATAAAGGGAGTGATTTGATAAATGTTTAGGTTTATTGTGGAACTAGGTGTACTGAAGGATCGTATTTAGATTATCATGATGTTCTAATGGTGTATACATCAACCTTAAAACTCATCAAATATTTTTTTTTATTCTTTTATAAAAAAAAAATAATTTATTTGATAGAAAATTTGCCTGAAGTCGGATTATGTGTTTTGTCCTGGTGGTGAGGTTATGTGTTATCATGAAAGTACTTGCTGTACGCTGATCACTGGTCAGTATCATGCGCGGATCTATAAGGGGGGGGGTCGGGGTGGTCAGGACCCCCCCCCACCCACGAATTTAATAGGTAAAAAAATGTATATACTAAAACAAGAAAATAGCTACTATGGACCCCCCCCCTGAAAAACTCAGACCCCCCTGGTAAACGAGAATATGTGTGAAGTGTGTATTATAAGTGAAAGATTTGAAGCAATAGAATTCACCACTACCCCCCCCCCCCCAACCCCCCACGAAATAGGTTTTTGACGTTAGGGCGATTTTACGTTTTTCTTTTTCTTTCTTTTTTTTTTTTTTGCTTGGCAAGAAATTTCTGGGATTGGAATTTTTTTTTGACTGAGGTGTACCCCCCCCCACCCCTGGAAAAAAATTCTGGATCCGCGCCTGAGTTTGGATGCTGTCCCTTACCACAGATTAGACTGTAGAAATTTAAAGTGTATAATGAGAACGTACAAACAGAAATTATTGCACATTCGATCCAATACAGATTTTGCAAATTTGTTGAATTAAATTGATATCAACACTGTTTCAGCTGAAAGTTTTCAAGACTTTTTTTTCTTTTTTTTTTGCTTGCAATACTTTATTTTATTTTTTTTAATTAAATTTAAAAAATTTAATTTTAGCTGTTAAGGTGTAAAACCTTTATCTAAACAAGACCTGTGACAAAGTTTTGTTTACATAGGTTACATATACTTACAAATGTATACATTTTCGTGCAAGGCAGATTTTGCAATCAAAAATTAATTCTAAATGACATGAGAGAGTTTCCAGTTATCAAAGTTATCTACTAAATCATGTTGTGTTCTTAGTATGGTAGTTTGCATTTAGAAACAAAGCACGAACTCTATGACATTAGAAGATGACCTACTTTCAAATAGGATTTTTTTAACATATGTATCAGTTATTTTTCAATAATTTAAAATCAGAAATTTTCACGAGGTTGAATCTTCGAGGTTCGAAAAAAAGTTATTTGCTTTGTTCGGATTTAATTTTGTTGTGGGATGGTGTTACGAGGAATGCATATGACATTTTATATTTCGTAGTTTTCATAATTCGTGGATGGGTCCATACCTCGAAAACAACTAAAATTAAACAGCAACGAAAATTAGTGATTTCACAGTGTAGCTGATGTTGCCCATGTGGCGGAGTTTTTAGAGTGACTGGTCTAGAGTCTCGAAGTAATGTGTTGATCCTTACGCTGCTGGTTTAAAGTCCACTGTTGGAGATAGAGCTATACCTTCACTTTGGATGAGACCGTATCAACCGCAAGGTCGTGTGTGACAGTATCTTTTGACATGAAAATATCCCTTACTGCTCAATGGCTTGAACCTCTCCAATGGACAGTGGTTGTGCCTCCACATGAGTGAAAAAAATCTCCAGAAGAATGTTAAACAACATACAATAAATCAAAATACCTCATGAAATATGAAGATTTGAGACAAAAATTCTCGTCTATCAAATGCTGTTTATTATTTTTTTTTGTCAGGCTGTGTGCTGAAGTGATGGTATACACTGCTGCCTTTATGGCTTTGTATGCTACCCTTAGGGATGTAGTAGAGGAGGGTCCAGTCAAGTCACGGAATTGGTTAAGAAAGTTCCTGCTCTGTTGATATCAGAGAATGTGGTTTGTCCTGGTGGTCAAGCCATGTGCAATCCTGGGGAGACTTGCTGTAAACTGTCAAGTGGTAAGTATGGATGCTGCCCTCTATCAAAGGTTAGACTATAGAAAGTTAAACTATATAATTAACAAAGATATCTATTTTCTGCTTATCCCAATATTGACTATACCATTTTTATTGCACATCCCATGACTGACTATACTATTTTTATTGCACATCCCAATACTGATTGATTGCGCATATTTGTTTGATTAAATATGTCTGAAATTTAAGATTACAGTATAACATCGTTCTTTTTAATAAAGGGAGTGATTTAATAAATGTTCAGGTTTATTGTAGCACTAGGTGTACTGAAGGATCGTATTCAAATTATCGTGATGTTTTAATGGTGTATACATCAACCTCAAAACTCATTAAATGATATTTTGTTTAATCTTTTATCAACAAAAAATTAATTTATTTGATAGATAATTTTCCTTAAGTCGGATAATGTGTTTTGTCCTGGTGGTGAGGTAATGTGCTATCCTCGAAGTACTTGCTGTATGCTGATCACTGGTCAGTATGGATGCTGTCCCTTTCCACAGGTTAGACTGTAGAAATTTAAAGTGTATAATGAATAGGTACAAAAAGGAATTAATATTGCACATTCGATCCAATACAGATTTTGCAAATTTGTTGAATAAAATTGATATCGACACTGTTTCTGCTGAAAATTTTCAAAACTATATTTTCTTTTTTATGTTTGAAATGCGTTATTTTTTTTTTGGATTAATTATTAAACATTTAATTTTAGCTGTTAAGGTGGAAAACCTTTATTTAAACAAGACCCGTGTCATATTTTTGTTTACATAGGTAACATATACTTACAAATCTTTACAATGTCATATTCGTGCGAAGCAGATTTTTCCCATCAAAAATTAATTCTAAATAACATGAGACAGTTTCCAGTTATCAAAGTGATCTGCTAAATAATATTGTGTTCTTAGTATGGTAGTTGGCATTTTAAAACAGAGCACAAACTCTATGACATTAGAAGATGACCTACTTCCAATTTTTTTTTGTTTTAACATATGTGGCAGTTATTTTTCAATAATTTAAAATTAGATATTTTCACGGGGTTGAATTTTCGAGGTTGAAAAAAAGTTATTTGCTTTGTTCTGATTTAATTTCGTCTTGGGAGAAATGTTACGAGAATTGCATATGACATTTTATATTTTGTAGTTGTCAAAATTCGTGGATCTCTCCATACCTCAAAAACAACTAAAATTAAACCCGAAGGAAAATAAGTGATTTCACAGTATAACTGATGGTGACCGTGTGGCGGAGTTTTTAGAGTGTCTGGTCTAGAGTAACGAAGTAATGTGTTGATACTTACGCTGCTGGTTTAAATTCCACTGTCAGAGGTAGATCTATACCGTTACTTTGGATGAGACCGTATCAACCGTAAGGTTCCGTGTGACAGTATCTTTTGACATGAAAATATCCCTTACTGCTCAATGGCTTGAACCTCTCCAACAGACAGTGGTGGCGTCTCCACATGAGTAAAAAAAATCTCCAGAAGGATGTTAAACAACAAACAATAAATCAAAATACCTCATGAAATATGAAGATTTGAGACAAAAATTGTCGTCTATGAAATGCTGTTAATTATTTGTTGTCAGGCTGTGTGCCGTGGTGATTGTCGACACTGCTGCCTGTATGGCTTTGTATGCTACCCTTAGGGATGTTGTAGAGGAGGGTCCAGTCAAGGCACGGAATTGGTTAAGAAAGTTCCTGCTCTGTTGATATCAGAGAATGTGGTTTGTCCTGGTGGTCAAGCCATGTGCAATCCTGGGGAGACTTGCTGTAAACAGTCCAGTGGTCAGTATGGATGCTGCCCTCTACCAAAGGTTAGTCTATAGAAAGTTTAACTATATAATTAACAAAGATAATTTATATTTCTCAATTCTGCTCATTCCTATACTGACTATGCAATTTTTTATTGCACATCCCAATCCTGATTATGCAATTTTTATTGCACATCCCAATCCTGACACTGCAAATTTTATTGCACATCCAAATACTGATTGTACATTATTAGTTACACAGTCAGCTGCGCCTCCCCCAATACGGATTTCCATTTCACACCCTGTATGAATCCGTATTAGGTCACTAACTGACTGTGTTACGAATTTATCCCGCTGAAGACCTTTATCGATATAAAAAAAATATTTTTGCATATTATGAAAAAAATAAGTTTTAATCCAATAACAATCAACATAAAAAATCGTTACAGTAACAAGAAATTTAACTAAACTACCTACGTAAACCGTTTCTTAGACGCCATTTTTATTTACAATAACAACGCTGCGAACGTAATCGCGTGCCCGATATTTAATACACCCCCTGCTCAGAGACGTAATATTGAAAATTTCAGGGCGTCATGTGATGAGCTCTCATCCAATCAATTGTCTACAAATTTGTCTGAAGCGGGATAATTTATATTTCACATCCCAAAACTGATTGCGCATATTCGTTTGATTAAATCATGTCTGAGACAAAAGATAAAAATGAACTATATAACATTAGAAGAGGACACTACTCCGATAAGCATTTATGTAGCAAAATATAATTTAATAATTTTTAATATACATGATATTGCCTGCATAGCGAAGTTATTAGAACGTCTGGTCTAGAATCATTAAGTAAGGATTTGATCCTATACGTAGCAAGTTCGAATACCTCGGTGGAACGTGGAGATCGGAAATTCAGATTAGACCGTATAACTAAAGCCCCGTGTCGCAGTAGGTGTTGGCACGAAAAAAGATCCCCCACTGCTCAAAGGTCCTACGTTCCTAGTATAAGACAACATATATAGCTCTCCATCGGCTAGTGGGGTGTCTCCATTTTATGAGTGAAGAATGATCGAGGAGGACGTTATACGACTTACAATCAATCAGTATAATGCCTGATGAAATAGGAAAAAAATGTTTGAATCAGAAATTCGTCGTCTGTGAAATGCTTTGAATTGTTTTTTTTTCAGGGTCTGTGCTGTAGTGGCGGTGTACACTGTTGTTCTTCTGGGTATACATGCGATGTGTCCTCCGGGCTGTGTAGAAAAAGGCTCCAGTCTTGTCAGGACCTGTTGTGTTAAGATCAGAGAATGTGGTTTGTCCTGATGGTCAACATGAATGTAGGACTGGACAGACCTGCTGTAAACTGGCTAGTGGAAGCTATAGGTATTGTCCATTACCAAAGGTAAGTTTTGGTGTATTACAAATCTTTACTATTTTATACAATTTATACAATCATTATCAATGTATTCTTTGATGTTATTTTTTTTCTCTTTGCAAAAAAAAAAAAATGAAACCAAGAAAATTTTTGATGAGAAAAAACCTGCACTAAAAAGAGGTCAGACAGAAATAATACCAAAAAATAAAGTCCAGGAGCTATCATAAACTTATGTGCTGTAAGCTTAAAGCAATCTGAGCTGCATTTTTTAGAAATTTATTTTGCTGTTAAAATGTGCTAAATTATGACACATCTGTGTGTAATACATATCAATCCTTGATGAGCAATTAGACTAAACTGAAGTATTAAATTTCTTTTAGAAGAAAGATTTCTGTACATTGGAATGTATAATATATAAGAAATCAATAATGTACAGTACGATTATAATCTAATATTGCTGAAATCAAAGTTGTGAAAAAAAAATAAGTTCTTCCATCGCAAATATTGACAACAAAAGTAAAAAGGTGTTCTTTATTTCTGTCACCGACCAGCGACATACCTGGTAGTAAATGACAATATTGCAACAAAAAATTCCAACATCAAAGTTGCAGCTCATTTTGCTTCAATTAATGTTTACAATTGTTACCGACTTTGGATGCCAATGTTTAGAATAATGTTGAAAGCTATAAAAGTGTATAGGTAAATTAAGATAAACATGATGATGATGTATAAAATGTTAAAAAAAATTCTAGTAAATTAATTTCAAGTAGATGCAAGTTCATTGTCTCATTTCAAGTCTGGGGTTAATATATTAATTAATTTCTTGCTGAAAGCGTACCTGTTGTACTTAACGTAGATAGGCATTTAAAAAAAAGTGATACATTGGCAAATTTTGTGTGAAAAATTTTGAGTTAATTGACTTTAAAATATGAATCTAATAAAATATATAAAATATACAATGTTTCTCTATGTAATGAAATTAAATGTATATAATCAAATTATTTAATATACAATCTTTCTATTAAGGACATACGAAACATAGCAGTAGTTTGAACATTTTTGTCTTTTTCCATGCATTTTGGGGTTGAAGAGTTAGTTAAAATTCCAATAATTAAAGGAACTGTGTGCTGTGCTGTATTTTAGCTTCAATATATATTGTGTTTTACACTTCTTCTAAAACAGGTTTTGATAAAAGAAACATCTATATGCTTAGTAATTTTTACTTATTTTTCATTGAATTATCCAAGAATGTTCGTCGATTGATGTCTTATCAAACCCCCTGGCAATGCATGCTGATATTCTGTCTTTGAACATCTGATGCCACTATAATTATCCTAAATAAAGAATATCGTGAAAAATGATCAGTAGGTAAGGTACGTTGTGTATGTCCTTAATTATAGAATTAATCAAATGTAAACATTCTAGTATTGCATCTTATTTGCTTATTTATGTACATATAAGGTACGACTAGAAGAAATTTTTACAGAATTTTTGCTATGAACGAGTGTTAATCTAATTATGTTCCGTCTACCAATATAATTGTGTTTCAAGCGAGGAAATGTTGAATGTATAGTACATGTTTATGTGTAATTGTCACATTATAGAGGGCACATGTAAATGTGAATTACCGTATAAGTAGAATTTTTAGCGAGGATTTAATTTTGGCATTATAAGCGAGGGTGCTGACATCGCTAAAATTAATATCGCTAAAAATTAATTGCATATTTTTTGTAATACCTTCTTTAGTAAGCATTTCAAAACCTTTAAAATTACTTCTCGCTAAAAATAAAATACCAGATTTTAGGTAGAAATCGCTAAATTTGCGTCTCGCTTAAATTTCCACTTATACGGTATTTACTTGTATCAGCATTCTAAATTGTTTTTTTTAAAGAATTATGTCAATATTCTCAATAAATATATATCTCAATAATTGTAGGCTAACAAAGGTTACTGTATTGTCTTTCATTTTTTTCTTGGCTGTTATAATTTATGTATAGTAAACATAAAGATCGACTTGAGTAAGGTTTCTCTGATAAACTGATAAAAAGTGCTCAGGATTTTACGCAGTCGGAATTGTATTTTGCAGTGTGTTGCTCCTTAGGTTACCCGAACCCTCTGATAAGAAGGATAACTCTTACTGGGGTGTAAATGACTACAGTCTGTATGAATTCAGTCTGGAATATGGTTTGAATCTACCGGTTTATTTCCACTTAGCCAACATTTTGACTTTTACACCTGAGTGATCAATTGCAACAGGTCCTGTCAACCATTCTGTTTGTTTGTCCACAAAAATGTTAACAGGCTATAGTCTGTTTTCAGGTACGCGTATGGATTACCTGAGAAATACAAAGAAAAGTGTAAAAATATATGAATCAAAATTAAATTTTAAGCAAAATAATAAAAAAATTATAGTAATAATATCGAAGTTCCAAATTTTTATTTTTTCATAAATGTACTTAGCTAATCACACATCTGCATTTAAAAAAAATAAATATGAATAGAAGTTATAAGATTAATTTTATTACAAATAAAGCATTTCATGATAAAACAAAAAAAGTAAAAGAATTTTGAATGCTCTAATATATTTGACATTTGGGATTAGAAGTATTTATCTGAGTATGTAATAATATTTGGTCATGGTCATACGTACATGAGCAACAGTAACAGAAGTCTCAGCTAAAATATGAAAAAAAGATTAATTGTAGATGTACATAATAATTGTTATTGACATTCAAATAAAAATTCTCACCAATTTTGAAGCGTCATGTCCTGACGTGCTTGAGGCAAAGAGGGACCTTTGAGAGGTTAAACCTTAAACCAGTGCTAACTACATGAACTTATAATTACTATGTGCCTGCCACAGTGGTAATTAAAAAATATGTATACCAATATCTAATTTAAAAGTAAATGATTATAAAATATTGGCTTGCCAGTTATAAAACTTATGGTGTTCCAATGTCGTGAAGTTGCATTGTGCTAGCATGTAGTTTTCAACAGGCTGCCACTCCAATGCACAATGATGCAACTGTAAACAACACACTGCTGTGTACACAAAAAACACGATCATGCTAACACAATTTTTAAACAATCTATTGTGTGTTAGCTTGACGGCATGTTTGAAACAGTGTGCTGGCATATTATTACAAATGAACTTGCTAGCACATTGTCACCTCGTGCATAGACTTACTTATTCTAATGATTTAGATACAGATCCTCTGTCTTCAGCAGCAATGTAAGATCTTGTAATACATGTATCTGTATTTTTACAGTATAATGTAAGAAATTTGCTATGTTAGCACATACAACTAAGGCATAAACATGTGTATGATTCCAAGGAATTCAGTACAGAGGACATGAACATGTAGTTTTCAAATACAAGATTTAAGAGATGTCCAGTCACATTTCAAATTCAATAAAGCACTAAATCTGAGAGCTATCCAAACCATATGTAACTAAGTCTGGAAGAGTTGTAAAACCCAAAATCACTCCTTCTATGTAATCAAATTGTCACTCAATTGTTATCTAATTGTCATATCAGTCTACATTATTTGCAAATGTATGTCCATTAATCATGGTTAATATGTTCACTGTGATTGAGAACTTTGTATGCAGATTTGAACACTCATGATTTTCAATTTGACAGTGTTAATGCAGTATGATGAATGTCCATGGATTAGGTGACTTAGATTTTTTGTTAAAATGGGAGATGTTACATTATCTTACTAATTATATTATAAGTATTATTGCCCTTTGGTCGATTGATTTTTTACATACACTCTGTATTAGCATGCACAAGGCGCCACTTGTGATTTCCGTTATAAAAATACAGTCTGAAAACGTGCTCGTAATCTTGTCGTCAATTTAGAGTACTGGATCGTTGTATCCCCACAAAACAAAACAACGTATAGACCCTATATAAATGCGTTCAAGTTTGTACTACTAAATGATGATTTGATGCTGTATAATAGTTATCATTGATAGCCCTCTGCGTAATGCAAGTGTGATAATTAAAATCCTCGTTTGTATTTACATTGTTTGAAACAAAGGCTTATGCAGAAGAGGGCGGGAATAATTATTAAAATTGTAATGAAACTACAAAATGTTGATACAAACTAGATATAGAACCTTTGGGGGATTTTACTTATAAAACATTTAATTCCAATTTGATTTAATACTCATTGAAACCTTAAGCTTAATGAGACTTTTAAATACACGTGTGCATAAATCTTACACATTCAATTTTTGCATGCTTTTTTCCATATATTAATTATAAATGTAATGATTGTATAATAGAATTTATTTTAACAACTTACGGGTAGACGAGTTGTCTTTTCAAAACAACTGGCCGGGGTATGTAGCATATGTTAAACTTTAAGTTTACGAGCAACTATGGTGAATGCAGCCCTGATATATGCGTTCGGTAGAGGGCGTTGTATGAAAGATCGTGAAACTCTGAAGACAACCTATAAAGCGCTTGTGCATGCGCGCTTAGCGTTTAAAAATACATCTTCTGTGTATGTCGACTATAATCAAATTTACATATTATAAATAAAGAAAAAATTGTTGCAAATTTGTTTAAAGATTTATCATAATTTGACTGGATTATTACGACAATAAAGTAAAGCATGCCTTATTGAACAGTTTAAATTCTAACGAGTAAAACATAAAAAAAACATCGGGATCGGAACTCAAAATACTTTGGAGAAGATTAGGACGAAAGTTCAGGCAGACGAGAGTGGCGTTGAAAAAAGAAAATCATCATTTTCATGTGGATATATTAGTCTATAAAATCACTGTATATAGTAACAATGTAGCGGGTACACACTTGGAGATATTGGTAATCAAAAAAAAATTTCCTTTTTGTTTTTATTTGTTTACGATTAAGTTTTAGTAAATAAGGAACAAGGAAGTATAATTTTCTAAAATTTTGTTATATATAGTAGAGTCAATTGAAGTGTTTAATTTATTTTTCTTCACAAAAATGGAATTTGTAAGAAAATTTCATTACACCGTAACATTATACTGAT